TATAAATATATGTTATATTTTTATTATATATATTTTGCTTCTCACCTGTTTCTGCTTTGTTCTCATATTCTGTAGCTGATCCAGACAGTGAGCGCCATCGACAGGGATGACCCACAGGAGGGTCAGCACTTCTACTACAGCCTGGCTCCGGAGGCAGCCAACAACCCCAACTTTACTCTAAGGGACAATCAAGGTAATCAGAGTGGACACAGACAGTTAGCTACTCTAATTTCTAATGCCTGAGTTGGACTTGAGAGGCTGTGGCTTACAGTGTGTGATAAGACTGCCAGTTCAAATAATACCAAGTGACATCTGCTCCTTAAAGGCAGTAATACACTTGAAGGTTATATGATATTTTCTTCTCTATAAATATTCTCCAGCAATAGGCCCCTTTTTCTTCTTCGAGGAAATGTGCCAGTGTTTTGTGCAAATTCAGGTCTTGTGGTCAGGCTGCAGGCATCTCGGATTACAGGAGCGGAAATTGCATTCATTCAAAAGGAGATGCTTAAAGGTAGGATAGCAATTGGAACTAGGAGACAAATCTATAGGGAATTACATTGCTCTTTTTCAGTACTCTTCATGTTTTCTCCCAGGCACAGAAAGGGAAGGTTCTTGTACTGTTCCAGTCTTTTCCCCCAAGCACTTTTTTTCTTCCTCTTTCCACATCCTCATTTCCCTAGGAAAGGGAGGGATGTAGGGAGGAGATGCAGAGCCTTAGGGGGATAACTTGGCATAGAGCTGAAAGTCTGTGTAAGATGCACTAAGTAGAAACTGAAATACCAGAGGGAAGACTCATGGCAAATGCTGGCATTTGAGTACCCTAACCAGTGGAATTTGCTTTTTTGGGGAAGTTTTGGTGGGTTGGAGCCTGCAGGAAAGCCCTACCGCAGCAGGCCTTCACATGACTGCTGCTGATAGAGGGTCTCCATGGGCAGACAACGGTGCTGAGGTCAGGTCTACACCAGCCTCCACTGGGAAAGAGGGACGACCTTGAGTGACCTGGTGCAGAGCTTTGGAAGTCAATGTGAAGGGGCTGGATTTCAGTAGGAGTTTAGTGTGTAAGGTACCACAAATCAGCAAGTGATTCCAGGATAAACAGGGAGAAAGTCTGGCCACCTGCAGCATCTGTGGCCAATCTCCAAGCACAGTGCCATGCCTACTTGTCACACTTACTTCCATAAGCCCCATCTGTGCCTCTGCAGACATATGAAAGAGCAACATAGAAGCTAATAAAGAAGCCACTGCCTTCACTAACCAAACATGTCTTAAAACAAGCTACTTGCAGAGTCTGGAGCCCTCCTCCACAGCATGCTAATGCTTTTTCATCCCAAAAGCAAATTTTTTTCTACAGTGTCCCTGAAGCCTTGCCACACAATTTCTTGCATTTTTATCCCTTCTTTCTCCCATTGTCTCCCTCTTTTTTAATTTTGAGTATATATTGCCAAAATAAGTAAACAAATAAAACACAACTATTGCTAAAACGTTTGGCAAATGAGGCTCATTTCACCCTCAAGGCATTGTTCTAAAAAAGGAAACACAAAATTCCCAGCATCAGATGCACTTTTTCTGTCTAAGGCCATACTTGTGTTAATTTATAGTGGCAACAGTGACTGAATGACTGTGCCTCCCGCTTTCTGTAAAATACCAGTTTTCCAGAGATATATATCACAAGAAGCTTAGGGTACTATTGGTTACAAATTTGAAATAAAAATGTTAAGTATCAAACCACTGACTCTTTGAAATATACACATTAAGGATCAATTTACTGCCTCAGCAATTTGGAGAGCAGTAGTCATTTCAGTAACAATAATTTATATTTATATTTTCATCTAGGGACCACTAAGGACTATATAAATTATATGACTTAGTCACAGGGGGGGTAGCTATACTGTATGTCACAGGGTGACAAGACAAGAAACAGAACCCACCTTGGTAGTCACAGCCTGTGCATGTAAACATGAGACAGCAATGCTTTCCAGGCTGCGGGAAGGCTCTATTAAGATTAGCAATTGTGCTGATTACTTGGTTGTCCAATATAGCAGTAAGAGAAACTGCAAGACATGCAGCCTTCCTGGCAACAATTAAAACCTTGATTTATACTGAGCAACAGATAGATCACAGTTTGCATTCTGATGAGTTGTTTTACATACTTCTTTGGCCCTTGGTCATTTTAGTCTCCAAGAACTTCTTCAGTCTATTCATTCTCCACATATCTCTGGCAGACAGAGAAATCCTATTGTTTTCCACTTTATAGACGGGGATCAAGGGCAAGGAGAAATTAAGCTACTTATATGCCTGGTTCCCTTTCAGTTCAGTAAAATCACTGGGAGATAGACACGTATCTGCAAAGATCTGGGCCTAAATGACTTCCCAAGACCATACAGGATATATGTGATGAAGTAGGGAATTGAGCTGGGGTCTCCCATCTCTTCGGTTACTGATGTAGGGCACTGGCAAGCCATCTTCCCCCACTTCTAAATCCAGGTGAGATTATGCTGGGAAAAAGTTGGCAAAAGAGGATTGCTGTAAGAATGGGATGAACAGCAAAATATACTTACTGCATTTCCAGATTAAACTCTGAGCTAATCTTCTGTTGACCCTTAAGTGCTGCCCTCCATCTTTGGCTACCAGGAACTGATGAAGAGAGTAGCCATTTCAATGGGTGCAGGCACCAGTGTCATACCACTGCCAGGCCTGTCATGGGAAGCCTCTGGCTGTCCTCCCCATTGCATTTAAATTTGTCCTAGGAAAATTTTTGGCTATTTCTTCCTTCCCTAAAACTGTGTTCTACCTCACGCTTTGGCAGAGCGCAAAAGCAGTGAGCTGAACATCCCCAAGAAAAAATGTGATCCCTTCCTCAATCTGGTGGTGTCTGTAATGCCTGCTTCCTTGTGCTCTTTCTCCCACTCCTGGTGAAATATTTCTTTATTTTATTCCTAAACTATTCATATTTATTATAATTAGTTTTTAAAAACTAACAGAAGTTCTGGGCTAATCATCCGCAGTTCTTGTACAGACGCATGCAGAAAGAAACCAAGCCTTTCTTGGGAATAAACCTCAGGGTTTGGACCTACACAGTGGTTAATTCCCCAGACCTCTCCAGGGAGGTACATCACTTCCAGTGGGGCAGAAAACTGCAGGAAGGAGATGCTCTATGGCTTGCTCTCGCAACCACATGAAGACACCACCCTGCATGTCCACGGGAAGTACAGCTTTCACCTCCTGCTGATCACACAGGTGCGGGATCCGCCATGCTGCAATCTTCAGCATCTCTGCTCAGCGCTGCAGCTAAGTGCTACCAACCAGCCCTCTGCGAGCCAAAGACGCTGTGTTGGAAGTTGTGTTGCAAAAATATTGTGCATTCTTATCATGCTTGCTTTTCTTATTAATATAATGGGGCTTTCATGCCCTCACAAGCCCTCTTCTCTTGATGGCTGAGACTTAGCAGATTTTGAATTTGGAGGAAAATTGTATACTCCACTTTCTGCCATGCTGCATCACATTCCAGCATGTCCTTCGCACTGCAGTAGCATGTCAAATCGCATTGGTTTTTGATGAGTCACACAACAAGCTTTGGCACCAACGTATTGCAGTTGCAGAGTAACAGGTAGAGCAATTCTTTAGTGATGATTTGGATGCCTGCCTAGTACAAAGCAAAACAAAACAAAAGGGTTGAAATGTAACGCTAAGAGTCACCAGGAGAATTTTATCATGAAGAACATTTAAGACTTGGGTGACATGGTCAGCACATCACAGCAAAAATATGTATATACACATACATATCTTTCAATATTTGATTATAGAACCTTGGTTTGGCCTGAAAAAAGAATTATGGTCAAAAACATTTGAGATCTCTCACTAGCTGATTTTGCACAGCTTCAGTCAGGTTCATTGCCTGTGACTTCTTTTACACAGGCAAAGGATGACCAGCTCAGAATAATGAAGTCTTTTTCCCTCACAAAGAGCAATTTTACATAAAACGAAGGTTTGCTGTCACCTGAATAGAATTTGTGACTTATATTGTAAGTTAGTTTAAAGAGAGTGAGTCTTTCACCCAGGAAAGAGAAATGCAACCAAATTACTACACTGTTAAGATGATTCAGACATTTCCATTGACACAGCATAAATCCAGGCACTTTGCCATTTTCTGCCCTTTGAGCTGCTTTTTCTCATGCTAAAACAAGCCCAGTGATGAAAAGTTGTGGTATTAATAGTTGAGGAACCCATACTAGCAGGCGCATAAACTGCCCGAGGGAAGAGAAAGCACTTGCATGCGCCCCAGAAGAGAGGAGGGGGAGGTTTGCAGGAGGCGAGGACTCCCATCCGCAGCTCACCCCTTGCCCAGGAGCCATGGTAGCTGCCGGGTGCTGCTCTCTGCTGGATTTCGGGACACATTCCTGAAAATCGTCTATGTCTGTCCACACCCTCTGCGCATACTCAGAGCTGCATGGCATATCAAAGGGTGGTGAAATCAGTAAACACTGACACATAATCAGTTTTAAGCATCTTGGGGATTTCATCTTGCACCTGGTTTTTCCTCAAAGCTTCAGCTCTTGGGATCACATGATTTAACAAGGCACTACAATTTCACTATATATTCACATACAGACATGCACACACACTTCAGAATTTTACACTTTCAGAGTAAAAGCTTGAAATTTCATTGACGTGCAAGAAATAAAAGACCCTGAGATTCTTTTTAAAAACATGTCACAAATTCAAACTAATCTCATAAACTGCGGAGCCCAACATCTCAATACTCAACACTGTGTCCCAGTACTGTCTGATGCCATAAGATTTGCAGCACAAAGTATGGAACTTAGAGCATAATTTAAGTCCATCAGGCAAGTCTAGCAAGTCTAGCTTGAGTTTGGATATATTCCATAGCCGGCTGTATATAACACTCCTGATTTCACTCCAAAAAGCCATCAAATCATTTCTGATGTTCAGACTACAGCACATAATACAGCTGATTTACCTGCATGTAACCTAAGTCTCTGCACTGAAGAAAATCACCCAAGGTTTAAATTTTAGCAGTGAATTGACAGGCAAATAATAAGGAAATGGAACAACCCCTTGTTGATATTTTGGGTTTTTTCACAGTCTACTTGTGATCAGAAGGTTTCTTGCCATTTCCAGGCAGCAGGTCCATTGTGCCAATCCACCCGGGAAGAGCTGATTGGCATCCCGCATTTCCAAGCATAGCAAATGTACATTGGTGACAACCTGGAGATGCAGATGGCGAAGCGATGACATCTCCTGAACCAAGGGAACAGGAAACAAAACTAAGCAGTAAAAGAAACTGCATGAAGTTCAGCTCCCAAAAATCCCACAGCATCACTGCATGGGGTCAGGGCTTGTAGGTCTGCCAAAGAGAAAAAGTACCTGTGTTCCTCATTTATCTTAGCTGGCCCAAGTTCTGCAGACATGTATGTAAGAAGGGCCAGTTTTCCTGCAGGCTCCTTTAGACTCCCTGGTGCCCCAGATCACATTGGAGACATTCAGTCTTGCACTTTCCCAAAGTCTTTGAGGCCAAAAAGCTTAAAAGTCAGCACTGACAAAATCATCACTGATCTCCAA